GAAAACCTAGGCGAGCCCATTGTTATAGATGGAGGGTGGTCATAATGTAATGGCTCTTCGGTGTGCATATCTTTATTTTTACAATCGTAATCATGCGAAAACGATTTTTACAATAAAAAATAATAAACTATCCAATTTTTTTTTTTTTTTTGTAAAAGCAGTTTTTAACATTAAAATCAAAAAGTTTCAATTCAGTCCTCTGCTGTTTTTCACACTTTCTTGTCAAGAGTTTTTGTTGTTATAGTGATACAACAATTGATTTTTTTTTATTGCAAACAGAAACCATTTTAACTATGCAAACACTTATTATTTTTAAAGAATATTATTAGGACTTTAATGTATTTATTTAAAATATTTTTATGCTGTGGAGGTCAAAATCATTATAAAGAAATTTTTCTAAACAAAGCGTATACATTTTGCTATCACTTTAAATCAAAAATAGAATCACCCATGAAAATCAGAACATATAGCAGCTATGCCTCTAGGGTAAAAACATGTAAATATTCAATATTGTTTACGACATAATGGGGAAATTACAAAAAAGGAGCAATAATAATTGTCATTCATTGTCATTCATTGTTTAAAAAAAATGGATGTACAATAAGCAAAATAAAAAACGGATCACTCTGAATAACTTCTGATTTTATGATCGGATCTTCGAGTTCTAGGACTCATTCATAATGGTCCGGAGGGTTGACCTCATGTGCTAATTATTTAGTCTAGATCAGTGTTTCCCAACCTTTCTTCAGCCATGCCCCACTCAAGCCTTTCTAAAATTCTTATGCCCCCTATGTGACATACACATAATTTTTAATATTAAAAATTTAATTGTTCACATAAGAAACTTAAATGATAGGTTTCAGTGAGAAACTCTTTAGGAAATTGTTGACGAAACACAGTAAGTTAAATTTCGACTTATAATGAAAAACTAAAATTCAAATTCGAAATAATTTTCATAAAGATTTTTCTATAATAATTTAATATTTTAATTTAGAGAGATCCTTGCGTTTGATGCTTGCTGCACAGAGATTTTATGTTAGTTTCCAATTTGGTTAGCTTGCAGCCTCAAGTCTCCCAACTGTGTTATATCCAGGCTATTTCTATATTATTCTTTTTTTTTTACCAGTCAATCTACAGCACTAAAACCACCTTCAGCTAAATATGAAGATAGAAACGGTAACAATAGTTTTCTTGCATATTTGGTTGAATTTGGGTATTTGATTTCTGTTTCCTCACAAAGAAATGCCATCACTCCTTTTATATAAAAATAAAGTTTTAACTAACTTATCATTTTGCATTTATGAGAGTTCTTCTTGATACTGCATATTTCATATAACAGACAAATGCGCTAATATTGGCTGCATCATCCGTGTTGAAAAATCTATTTGTTTTAAATCAGAAAATCTTCCTTTTAAATCAGCCGATAGAATTTTCAGATGATCGACAATAACAAGTAAAGCGGCATCGTTTACTTTTAATTTTTGGGGACAATTAAACTGGTCCAAGTTTTTGTTTTCAGACTTAACTCAATAAGGGTAATGAAACCAAATATCTTCGTTTTTGTATCAACAAGAGTTTTATTTGTTCCTTGAAGTTGCTTATTTAATAAATTTAGTTTTTCAGAGATATCGGCTAAATAACTCACAAATGCTTTACCTTCGACTGTTAACAGATACTTCATATCAGGTTTGTCGCTTAAAAAATCCCTAAGAGTATCAAACAGTTCCATGAATCTTTTCAAGCAGTTCCCTTTAGAGAGCCATCTTACTTCAGAGTGAAGTAAAAGTCTCACCTGGTCTGCATTTTGTTCTTCACAAAACAGCTTGAAGAGGCGCTCACATTTGGCATTAGCTTTAATAGCATCGATACACTTTATTAGTAAATGTAAGTACTTCATTTAGAACAGGCGAGATGTTTTTAGCTACCAAGTTTTCTCTATGCAGTAACACAATGCACAAGAATCATTTTTGGATTCTCACTTTTCATCAACTTTTAAGTAGCAATTTTTCTTGCCTATCATATTAGGAGCACCATCTGCAGCACAAGATGTTATATTTTTCATTGGTATGTTATTGACATCTAAGTAGTTTTTTTAAGCTTATTATATAATATCTTTGGAGGTAGAGGTGCTTTCTGATTTTTTACAGAACAACATTTCTTCAGCAAAATGTCCTTTATCTATATTTTACGTAAGTTATCAATACTGCCACACTGTCTATCAAAGTTGATTTATCCATTTGCACGGGGAATTTTCTTGTTTTTAGCTTGTCAACAAGTTGTTTTTCAATATCTTCACTCATTTCGTTTTTCAATATCTTCACTCAAGAACTTTTTAAGCGAATTAAAAAACGTTTGGACACAATAGTAAAATTTATTTATCCAAAGAAAATTTATTTATCCACGCTAAAAATTTTCAGTAAATAAGTCCAAAAAAGTTTGAGTTTCAAGTTATGCAATTTTTCACATCATTTTAAAGAATATAATTTTACATGGCAAAATACAAAATTTGAGTGATATCGGTCGAATAGTTTCTGGGAAATCGAATTTCAAAAACATTGTATTTGAATTTACAATTCTAACTATTCGATTTTCTCCATTTTTTAAAAAAATTTAAAGTCATAAAAGAATGCATGGTTTTATATTTAATTTTTTTATAAAATTTTATTTCAAATTTCTTGTTAGTAATTATAAGAACATTTCATCAAATGTAAGAACAATATTATTAATAACATCTAGGTTTGAATTCAACTAATACTTGTGTTATATACACTAAATACATTCCACTTATAAAAAAAAGCTCTTTTATTTAAAAAAAATTAGCTTTTTAAAAACTTTTTTCATCGAATTGTAAAGTATCATTCAACTTTAAACAATTAATTTACGGGAAAAACTATCTGTGATGCGATCTTTTATACGCTTTGATTTATTTGCTACTCTGTAAAAACTGTGGTGTAATATCTCTCCAAACATGAGACCGTAGTAGCCCATTGGTTAGAAAATCGGACTCCAATCCGGAGGGGCCAGTGTTCGATCCTCGACTCAGCTAAGACCCACCGAGTACATGTGGTATATGTGCATGTACTCGTCGTAAAATCTGAAGAATCGAAAGTCCTGTGGTCGGTCGCTGAGCAGTACCATGCGTACAGGGATCTGGAGAAAATTTCCTTCCCCTTTAAATCTATGTCTAAATTGAGGAAGTGGCCTCACAAATTGTGATGGAATGTCTTCGGATCATTCTTATGGGTGTTTTCCATTTGTTTGTCAATAGCCCATTGTGCAGCTCTAGTACGACATAGATCAATAGGTAAATTCATTTACGACTATTGGCGACGGTCTGGAAAACATCCCTGAGGCTGATCCGAAGACAATATACATACGTCATATCCCATTTTACAGACAGGACCCATTCACGCACCATCCATCCTTCCGCAGATCTTAATTTAGACTTGAACCAGAGCACGATCATTCTCCGATCCAGTATTTTTTTTCCTAATGGCAGGCACTGAAAATTTACGTCTTTCGTCGAGGAAGATGCCGGAAGTATCACTCATTTAACGTTACCCAGTGGGAACCTGTGAACCTTAGTCACAAAGGCGAGCAACATTATCCACGCCACACTGCCACAGATACCCGTTTATAGGGTGGGCCACATTCACACATCACACAATAGAGAACAGCACACAGAGGGAAACATCCATGCCCTGAAAGGGATTCGAAACCCCAGCCATTGGCCGAACCTGTATCCCCAGACGTATTGATTTTTTACGGAAACTTGGAGGATATTGTGATCCCGACAGATTTAGTGTGCACCATCCACTATTTTTTACACGGGGAGTCTTCGGCCGGTGATGATCGAACTGACAATCGCTCGGACATGGGCCCAATGCTCTAGCAGCTGGGCTATGTTGGCCGCTCTAATTTTTTTTGTCGTATGCCTGTTTAGACAGTGGGGGTTCGATCGTTCCCGTTTTTCAATGGCGCCATCTATGGCCAGGAATTCGACTTCTGCCACGCCATTCACACAACCACAACCCGTTTATAGGGCGGGTCACATTCACACACAAATGAGAAAGGACATAGAACACACAGAGAGAGAAAGAAACATCCATGCCTTGCCCGGGATTCGAACCCAGCACCTTTCTGATGCAAGGACAGTTCCCTGCCCCCTACACAGGCCGGTCGGCGGCCGCTCTAATGCGACATAAATAAAGTTCTTACCTGTCTTTCCGAAAATGATGTTGAACAATTCAAATTGTATGAAGGAACACTTAATTCTGGATTAATACCAAATCGAGCGTTCAGATACAATTTAAAGTTAATATTAATCTAAACACCTGCAAGGGGGCCTCACTTACCAAGCGCTATCACCCGAAAAATGTTGTGCGAAGCTAGGAGGTAACGGGTTCGAATTCCGCTGTTACCCCGGATGTGTCTTCAAGATGTCGTTCTCTGTATTGGGCTACCTGGCTTTCTACTTTTGCAAAGGTATTATAAGCCTTAATTGTACACACAAGCCTGCAAATGTATGTTGTACTAATATAAAAATAAAATAAATAGAATAAGCTTATGTCCCGCAGTAAACTGATCGTTAAGACACGGTTCCCAGCAGATCACCGAAGTCAAGCATCACTGGCTGCGATCAGTGTGCGGGTGGGTGACCACTTGGATTAGTCTGCGTAGGGACCGAGGGTGTGCGGTATTGGTCCTCGTTAAACTGTTCTACCGTAAAGACTTCGCGTGCAGGTCGTCGGGCTACCGAAGCGGGGGTGCCATCCCCTCTGCAGAGGATCAAAATTGTGATGGCATGTCTTCGGATCATCCTCAGGGATGTTTCCCAGACCGTTGCCAATAGCCCATTGTGCAGCTCTAGTGCGACGTAAATTAACTACAACAACAACAGAATAAGCTTATACCGAATTCCCCTTCATTTAAATAAAACAAGATCTCACAGATCTGTTCCCAGCTAATACCGAAGTCAAGTATCACTAGCTACTATCATTATGTGGGTAGGGGACCACTTTGACAAGGCTACGAAGGGACCAAGGATGTGCTGTATGGTCCTTGTTAAACTTCATCCCCTCCGCAGAGAATTAAAATAATGATGGCATGTCTTTGGATAACCTTCAGGAATATTTCCCAAACCGTCGGCAGTAGCCTATTGTGCAACTCTAGAGCGACAAAAATAAGTAACTTCAACTAATTGAATAAAACGAGAATTACTTTCCCTTCCGAAAACCCTGATTGTTGGAGCCTTTTTAAATCGCCAGAAAGTTGCGTTTGCAATCGAAAGTTTGTTGTTGTTTGTGTGAATAGTAGTGATTTGATTTAATGATTTGTTGTTAAGTGTTTGCCTAGTTAAAATGAATCCTGCTGACAGTAGTAACATCTATTGTTAAATCTTTGCCACTGCAGCAAGTGTAAAAAGTTCAGCTTGTCATACCTGTCATCATTTACTCTTTCCGAGGAGGTACTTTCAAAGTAGTAATCGTAAAAAGATATTTGAAATGCAGGTAAGATTCTATTTCTTTATAATTTGCCAAGTCTTAATTGCACCTTCAATTATAAAGCATTTGTTATTGTATATGTGATTGATCCACTTATAGTTAAGTCAAGTAATCAAAATTATTTTAAAATAAATTTATCAATCCAATAATAAAAAAGGTTATAAGTTTTATTACCACTTATACAAAAATGAAATGACAGAGAATTTGTAGCACATTTGGGCAAGCATATCTAATAAACACTAGATTACTTTTTTTCAACAATCTTTCACACTGTTGAATATGTAATGCTGTCATTTTTTAAGAGTATTATCAGCTCTTTAAGTGAAATTTTATAACCTTCATTTTATTTGTAAGTACCTCTGGACCATTACTGTTGCAATTAAAAAATCAATGTAAGTGACAGAAATTTAAAATTGAGAAATAAATAAAAATAAAATAAATTTGTTTTATCGGTTTTTTGAAATTCTATTTTAGTGTTCATAACAGTAGCAATAATAGAAAAGTTGTCAGGCCACAATCGTGAAGCACTTATGTTTTTTCAATTGTATGGCAGTACAGTTTACAGCACAAATGTTTAAAAATTTTCCTTTCGGTTAGAAAAGATAATTTTGTTAAGATATCAATATAAATGCAATAGTTTATGTTGATTTCTTTCAACAGGCAGAATTATTAATTCACTCTAAAAGCATTAGTGTGGATTAAATTTAGGCTTAGTTTTTGACTAGAACTATAAAATAATGGTTTGAGTTATGCTCATTTTTTTTAAAAATGCCCATGTATAAACTTATATTAAAATCTTGATAAATTTTTTAAAGTCATTTAGAGTTGATAAAATATTATTATTATTTTTTAAATTGTCAATGCGTACAGAATAAGTGATTTGATGAATGTTCCGAATAGATGAAAGTTCAAATTTAGTGAATGAAGGTTCTAATTGAGAGGATGAAGGTTCAAACTGAGCAGATGAAAGTTCTGATTAATGATATATCTAACTCAATTATGAAGGTTCTAACTGAGTGAATAAAGGTTCTGAGTTTATGAAGGGCTTAACTAAGTGGATGATGAGTCTAAGATGATGATGTTTCTACGTGACATTTTAGTAAATGTATGTAAATTAGCTTCAAATTTCTTATTTTGGCACTAAGCAATAACGAACATGCCTTGCTTTTATTTCTTGTCTGAGAGCTTCTAATTAGCAAAATACATAAATCTCTAACTATCATTTAACCCTCTAAACGTTAGTCCCAGCTTTCTCCCAACTATTTTTTTCCCTAACGCCAGGCACTGAACTTTTCGCCTCGGAAGTTCTCTGAAGTATAGCTCGTTTAACCTTACCCGGTGGGCATGCGTATACATAAGTCATGGATACGCCACACTGCCCCAGATACCCGTTGATAGGGTAGGCCACACTCACACAACAGAACAATACACAGAGAGAAATATCCATTCCCAGAGTGGGAGTCGAACCTGTAACCATTGACTTCGCAGTCAGGAACACTGATCACCTGACCGTCTTTTCTTTCCTTCTAACTATAAGCTGCAGGATTCCTTGGTTGGCTGTGTGAATCAGCTAAAAAATCGGTTTTTCCCATATTTTTCTATTTAAGTGGACACCATACCGCTGAAGAATCTTTTCATAGCAAAATCTTTTTTACCTCCCATTAGTAATTTAAATTATAGAAAAAGTAAGTTCAGGCATACATTGTTATGAAGTTTCAATTGTTGAAGGAAAAAAAATCAAAATTCAAACAAATTATTGGAAGAGAAATTTCGCATTTCGTAATCCTAAGTTATTTTCTCATAATTTATTTTCATTTGGTTGTTTTGAACATTTCTTTTCAGAATTTAAAATTTCATGGCTTACTCTAGGTTTGTATTTGAACTCACTTTTCTTATACTTTGAATATTAAATTACAAATGGAGATGGAAGAGAATTTGCTATGAAAAGTTTATTCCACGGTGTAGCGCTCTCGATCTTAAATCACATAGTAACTCTGCACTTTGCTCCGTAAAGCTTGCGTTTTTCAATAAAAATGTGACGAAAAAGCTTTAAAAATCAAAAAAAATTTAATCCCTCACTCTCTGAGTATTTATAAATTGAAATACTTTATAAATTGAAAAAAGCACTTTATTTAATGTATATGATGCAATATTACTATATAACAACTAATAATCATAAAATGATGTGATCACTAAATATCAAGGTGTAAAATTATAAATTTCTAACTGGTAATTTTTGATGTCGCATCAAAGCCGACTTAGGAGTGCTAAGGGTTAAAATATATTAGTCGTATTTCATGTTTCCAATAATCGCCTTTTCCAACTCTTCTCCGATTCACACAGCAATCAAATATGTTTTGATGTTTTAAATCACACCTTCCTCGGTAGTAATGTTAAAGGATTTCGATTTTTTCCACACATAAATATTATTTTCGGCCCTAATTTGTGACTTCATTGTGTGATTTTATGATCTACTTAGGACTTCATTTTTGGCAAGACTTCTAAAAATATATATTTACACGTTTTCGTTCAACAATGTTTGCCAAATCATAAATCAAATACCGTCATTTGTTTTTATTATTAATTATTTACTGCAGTATACAAGGGACGAATTTGCCTCATTCAGCAACTGGTAATTCGCTGTTAATGGCGAATTTTAGCCTGCCGACTGATATGTTGTGAGGCTGATATGTTGTGTGCCGGCTGATATGTCGGCTGATACGTTATGCATATTCTTCATATTCGAAGCTGTCACGTGTGTCATATTCTAGAAGAAATTATGGCATTTCACTGTTAATGGCGAATTTTTGCCTGCGGGCAGATATGCTGTGAGGATGGCATGGCATATTCTTCATATTCAAAGATGTGACGTGTGTCATATTCTAGAAGAAATTGTGGCATTTCACTCTTAATGGCGATTTTTCGCCTGCATGACATATTCTTTACATTCAAAGATGTCATATGTGTCAGATTCTAGAAGAAATTCTGTCATTGTCAGTGAAAAGCACTGCTAAGCATTATTTCATTTATTTATTTGTGGTTCAAAACCTTATTTTTCGTTACATTATAATCGATAATGAGAATGTTTTTCCAGCCTACCGTTTGAACTTTAAAATACAGACGTATAACAACCTCTCTTAAACGACGCACTCCATCTTGATTGAGGCAGGTTTATGAGGCCATTATTTGGCTTAAAATTAAGATTAACCTGTAACTCGCGGAACGAACTCCCACCACGCGTCACGTGACATGCAATAAACCGACCAATGGCCAAAAAAGATAATAATGAAAGCAGCCGAAAAATGTGACAAGAAGCAAAAAGCACTAAACCATTTAATCACCCGAGTCCTTGGGCCAAGGGTATTTCACAGATCGTTTATCATGAACGTATACTTGTCTCGTGGTTCATTAATTATGGCAGCACAGACTCATTAATGTTGACAGGGAGTGTCGTTAGGCGACCGGCATCGTTACGGAGTTTATGATTGTTGTCGTTACTGTACCAGGGAGGGAAAAAATTAATAGGCCTGGAAGAGGTAGGGACAGTGATATAAGTCCGATTTCCCTATTACGTCATTTTTTTTCCCTTCTTGACTTCATATTTGAAGGCAATGATTTATGAAATTTTTCCCTTCAAAAGTTTCCGGATGATCTTTCCGTATCGTTTTCTTATTTTTTTTTTTTAAAAAAAACTACTTTATTCATCTTCAAGGAGGCGATTAAAGAAGTCATTCATCATAATAATAATATTCTGGAGATTTAAATTTCCGAGACAGCTTCCGATGAATCGAGAGTATCGATGAAATTGTTGAGCTCGGAGCAATAAATAATGGATACTTTGTAATTTGATGATTTTTGTTTATTTATAATGACTTTGTGCTAGGTGGATGGGGAAAATGATTTTCTTGAGAAGAAAATGTTCCCTCTTCCGATTGCCGAACAAAGTTAATCGTTATAAGCAGATGTTGATTCAGAGCTATTGTTCACAAATCTACTTATAACACGATCTCAAATAAACCGTATTGGAAAGGCAACGCAAACGTGCTACATTTCCACAATATAAGACGGTAAGATGCGAGAGTTTACACAATATTTTTTGTTTGAAAGAAGGCTTTAAAACAGGTTTTTTATGTGGTGCTAAGCAACAGTCTTATAGGTTGTCTACTGTAAGAACTCCCCCCGCCACATAGTCTGACTCCGTTTGCTGTTATGGAAGCAAGAATAGCGAGTTTCAAGGAGGGTAGCTTCTATTCACTCTAGGACTAACACAATAGACCGAAGAAAAAGATTCCCTTTCTATCGCCAACCAGAGCCAAAATCTGTCCTAAACAGTGACACCCACACCCCTACTTGAAATGGTTATGCCTCGTCACCGTAGATACCGCCAAGGGCCCAGAGGAATGGTTCGGGGAGTTCTTTTTTTTGGACAAACTATACACACTACTCAACGATGATGCATCGTCAAGCAAAAGTTCACAAGAATGCCTGGTGTATCGGTAATCCTACATCGACGATCCATCAAATCCATGTCCTAAGGAGTTTCACAACTAGTTTTTTTTTCTCTTTTTTTTCCCTTGTGTAACTCCAAAGAAAAATATTCATTGGTGACAGATCTGGTGAATGAGGGAGACACCTGATAAATATTGTGTATTCTATGGTCAGTCAATCGCCCTAGAGATGTAGCGTTCAAATATTGGCGCTTAGATTGTGCTTGACCCGTAATGCAAGCTACGATTCTTGCTTGTTAATATGTTTCTGAAATACATCTAGATTTTTAAACGATAATTTTTGAATCATCCTGCATAAGCAAAATTTTTTAACAGGTTAGTGCTTAATTCATAAAAATTTATTGTTTAAACATGTAGCAAAAAGCTTTTAGCATAGTGTGAACACATCATAGGAATTACACACCATCATAGCAACAAATGTCGGAAAATGTAATTTTTCATGGCGCTCTGCATCCTATTACTGTAGTTGAGGAATTCGATGTAAGAACAAGATAAACC